ATAACGCCTTAAAAACGCTGCCCAACTTCAACAAAGGGCCTTGTCTCCGAAACCAGCCGGTTCTCGTCTACTCCACCAACCAGGCTGTTTAGTTTTCCGAGCCACTCGGACCACTCTTCTGAGGTCGCTCGTTTTGGGTGGCCTTGCCCAGTTGACCTCCTGATGCCTGAGCTGGCCTGTCGTTTCCCGCACGACATCCACACTGATTCACCGTCATGCCGGGTTTCCCACACCCAAAACAGGAGACGGTCCTTAGTTTGCCACAGCCTCTGGCAAAGTGACCAATCTCCTGACACCTAAAACACCGTACATCCTTCGCACCATCTGCCACTCCCCTAGTCATTACGGGCCTTTGTTCACGGACCCGGTTAGAGTCAAAATCTACTCGCTGCCCAATCGACTTGGTCTCAAGGGATGGTCTCTGAAAATTATGTCTTTCGACCACGGCCACTTCAAAACACTTCTCAGCCTTCTTCTTGGGAACATAGGCGGTTTCCAAAACCAGCGCTACGTTTGGTGAAGGAGGAGGTCGGAAGGCGGCTTTCTCTCGCAGATAGGCCTCATAGTCTTCAGCCAACTCCACCATCTCGGCCAGGTTGCTGAAGTCACGCCGGCGTACCATCAGTTTGTATTCCGGACGCATGTTGCTGTAGATTAAGTCTAATCTACCATGCTCCGACAACGTACCGCTACGCCTAAGCAAGGTACTTATGGCAACAACGTAGTCCCGGAAGTGCTCGCCTTCACCCTGTGTCCTTTTCCGGATCTCCTCATCCAAGTTCCTCCAATATCCTGGTGGGAAGAACTGGATTTCAAACTGACGCCGGAAAGCTTCGAATGAATACAGGAGCTCCTTGCAGTTCCTGTACCAAAGAAGTGCTGAACCTTGCAGCAGCTCCGGTAACGCTCTGAGCAGGTCCTCTGATGATATAGAGTAGGACACCATTAGCTCTTCTAGGCGCTCTAAGAATGACACAGGGTCTCGTCGGCCATCAAACCTTAAACCCCACTTCCGTACCGTGTTGCATATCTTGGAGCAATTCTTTGGCTCCACCCTGCTGGCATCACTTGAGAGCATACCCGATCCACGTGGCACCTCCACACTAGAAGGACGGACTGGTCTCTCCGAATGATCGTTAGGTCGCTGCCATCCCTCGGGTCTACTGGGTAACCCAAAGGTAGGCATGGGAGCAGCCACAACAGGGGACGCAGGGTTGGCGGGTCTTTCGAACCCATAGCCGACCTCATTACTCGGCGAGCCTCTCGCCTGTCGCACCACCAATGCCAGATGTTCTCTAAGAGTCCGGGTATCGGTCTCCGAAGACAACCCAAGGATCTCTTTAATCACCTCTAACTCCCTGCCAAGTCCCACTCTTTCTATTTGGCCCGATGCAATACTACCCAGTACCTGAGGTACGGTTCTCGGGGGGTCAGGAAGCTCCACAGTTGTAGTAGCCGGCGGTAAAAATGTCGGTGCAGCAGCCCCAGCCGTACACAGCCTATCATCGCTGTACCGACGGGCATTCCGCTGCTTCCAAAACGACGAGAATCTCTGCCGTAATTCCGCAGAAGTACCAGTGGTCACCAAACCATACTGGTCCATCGTCCTCATGAGCTCCCCTTTCGAGAGGTCATAGATCCATCCCACGCGAACGTCCCGGGGCTGCGACCCCAAGGACAAAGTCGCTGGCGCGGAATAGGTCAACGAAGTTGTCACCGTCGTAGCCACTACCGAAGAAATTGTCGGCCAAACGGGCGAAGACGCCGGCCACAATGACGATGTCGTCATCACCGACAGTTCGGAGCTAACCCCAGAACTAGTCGTAGCAATAGCAGACGTAATAGGCGTACCGCCCAGCACAGACGTACTCGTAGTCACAACCATATTTAAAATTCAAATACCACGACTAATCCGCAAAAATAAGAGCGAAACAGATTAAAATCTATTTAACACCGTTATAATAAATCAAACCAATTATAGGTGTGAAAGTCAAACCACAAATACACAATAAGGGTTCTCACTCAAATAATATTCAATGATAAAGCTCAATTAATTAGCAAAATTAAAATTACTAACTAATATCTATGTATACAACCACTAAATAAATTAGGGTTCACAACACACCACGCTGTAACAGAAAACAGGTTAGGCCTACCCAACCGACTATAAAATCACAGCAGGTCTGCCTAAAACTCTGCTCAACAGCTCAGGTCCGCAGCCAATCTGCACAAGTCCGCAGCAAATCTGCACAAATAAAATTATTTTGTTCGGGCGCCGTTAATACGTCAGCAACTCAGCACCACTGCCAACCTCAGTCCCTGTTCGGGCGCCATCTTGCGACGAGATTTTCTGCACTGGAAAAAAAATATCAAAAGTGCAGTCGCAGTCGCAACCGTTTGCCGGGGATAGCTCAGCCTACAATGGCTGGGTAAAGTTCCAGGGTCTGCGATAAGGTCAGGGAAACCACTAGGCCAATAGCCGGGTCTAACCGGTATAGGACTGGCTCATACACGGGCACTGTGAACAAGTCAAAAACAAGTCACCAAAACAAACGTGCAATAATCACTACCAGGCCTACGCCGATTCTCCACACTCCTAGGGGGTCGTTGCTGACTACGCAACTCGGGCTTCGTCCTAACTATCCAATAGTTAAGCCCAGAGTGCCTAAAACACGGTGAGTTACACGACGACTTGCCAATAAAAACCACAACGCGTGTTATCACCAGGCGGGGTCTACTAGGCCACTATAATCCAATACACAACTCTATTGCCCAAGCTAACAATCAAACAGTTCACTCAATAATAGTACCAGATAACAATACAAGTGCACTATAGGTAGAGTGACTACACCACTAATAGCTGGTCTCAACAAATACCAAGCCAAACAAGCAAAGCTAAATGGCAATTGCACTACTATTAAATTATTGAGCTACTTAGTAGTAGATAAATAAATATTAAATACGTTCCAAACACTAGATAAATGTATTATCTGATAGCCGGTACTCCGCTATCCAAGCTACCAAGATAACGTGTTGGATTACCAAACAAGCTGTTCAGGTTAAATTAAAATAATCAAATGATTAATCAATAACAACCCTACTACTGTTACTGCTACTACCAACTTTATGTTACTTAGCTGGGCTTCTGTTAATAAGCTAATAAAACTAGCTACTAGCCTGCTGGCCTCGTGCTTCCAACTACGCACGCTAAATCGTCCAGCCTAGGTTTGTCGGGCCTCAGAGTTATTAGTAATATAACTAACTCTAGGTACAACGCAAAATAATATCTACTACAGTCAATTAAATTATATTATTTGCGCTCTAGCACCTGCCCAGAACCGTCAGGAATATACTTTAATATTATTCCTGACTAATAAATCCTAACTACCGTCAGGCTTCGACCAGCACGGTTACAACCCTAACTCTCGCAATAAAATCAGATATTAATATATTCAAACTAATAATATCAGCTTTTAACCAAAATCAAAGAACGTCGTCCACTCACCAGCAGTGGGTCTTAACACCCAACTTAACACCGACTGTCACACCTCGTACACTCTGTACCTCCAACGTACGCCAGCCGTCTCCACAGGCACAGGACACCAACACTATCCTCACTCTACGAGATCCACCACTCGAATGTCCGTCCTAGGCTATCCTGAAAATCTAGGATATCCCAGGCTTATCGGCACTGATAAGCCGGGTCAAAGGGCGCTCGCTAGCCTCGCTGCCGCCGCTCGCTCACCTCAACAATCGGTGCGCGGCCAAATAGCAAATATTTACCCCCCTAGGAAAAATAACTCGTTACAAAGGCTTGAGAAACTTTTAAACAAATAAGATACAAAAGATTTGTATTATTCGTTACCTTGTTTGATAGCCCCAAAATAACTGAAATGAGTAACAAGAGATTTGTTTTATTGGAATTTGGATTTTGATATTTATAAGATTATGGATAACCATAATAAAATATTTTACCATAATGAAAGCAATAGAAAATCCTTAGTGCTTAGAAGTGTTATATACAGGGTTAGTAAAAAGTCTGGAGACCCCCTGTTAATTTTTTAACGGCCCATACTAGAAAAACAAAACTCGGCACACCTTTATGGCATGGTATTAAGTACTTTTTGGGCATAACCGCCACTTGGTGTACATCCCCAAAATGGGGGATTTTGGGGGGAACTCAAAACTTAAAACGGCTTAACGTTTAAAATTTTTGAGTTTCCCCCAAAATCCCCCATTTTGGGTTTGGGAACCAAGTAGCAATTAGGCTCAAAAAGTACTTCATAACATGCCATAAGGGTGTGTAGAGTTTAGTTTTCCTAGTGTGAGCCGTTATAAAGTTTACAGTGGGTCTCCAGACTTGGAAAGCTGTAAGTTAAATTTAACTTCTGAGAATTTCAAATGGTTGCCATTTTTTACTGGATTGAGATAGAGACCTCTAATTTGCGTTGTTGGTTTTCTTTTACCAGGGCCTTCAAAATGAGGGGTCACTCGATGGGTCTTTGTATTTGAAATTTTTGAGTTTCCCCCAAAATCCCCCATTTTGGGGATGTACATTAAGTAGTAGTGGTTATGCCCAAAAAGTACTTCATACCATACCATAAAGGTATGCCGAGTTTTGTTTTTTCTAGTATGAACCGTTAAAAAATTAACAGGGGGTCTCCAGACTTTTTACTAACCCTGTATATAATATGTAACGGTAACAAAGACATGAATTATATTATGCAGTTGCAAAGAAGCTGTTTAAAATATCAATACAGTAATTGCATTCCAGTTTAGAAATAGCGTGTCACATAACATTAAATTTCACCTATCTTCGGTGAAGTAGTCAAAGCCAACCCTTGAAGAATCAATTACCTTCCCCATTCGGTAATAAAGATTGTGCTGCATTGCAATCATAAAGACTACAAGTTACGGTTGCATGGGACCAAGTACCTACTTCATGTTTACCTTGCCTTTATCAGAGTTAGATGGGAGTTTTATCTTAGTACATTAATACAATGACACAAGTCCCTAAAAAGCTCAAATGTAAAACAAATTATTGATATATTTAAAGAAACTAAGTATCAAATGATCTTTCATGTTTATATCACTTTAATTATTGAAAACAGAATTGATCTAAATTATTTTTAGATTAGTAAACAAACTTCACACACTCTATCAACAGAATTAAAAGTAGAATAAAAATGACTAGCCGGCCGTGTGAAGCATTCACATGAATCCTTCTCTAATCCCACATTGAGATACACACAACATAGTTAACACATTCACTACCAGGTGACACTAGAATCATCACACAGAGGAGTGTGACCTGGTAGGCAACGTGTTAACACATTCACTACCAGGTCAAACAAGAGTCATCACACAGAGGAGTGTGACGGCTGGTAGGAAACGTGTTAACACATTCACTACCCAGGTCACACAAGAGTCATCACACAGAGGAGTGTGAAGGCTGGTAGGAAACGTGTTAACACATTCACTACCAGGTCACACAAGAGTCATCACACAGAGGAGTGTGAAGGCTGGTAGGAAACGTGTTGACACATTCACTACCAGGTCACACAAGAGTCATCACACAGAGGAGTGTGAAGGCTGGTAGGAAACGTGTTGACACATTCACTACCAGGTCACACAAGAGTCATCACACAGAGGAGTGTGAAGGCTGGTAGGAAACGTGTTGACACATTCACTACCAGGTCACACAAGAGTCATCACACAGAGGAGTGTGAAGGCTGGTAGGAAACGTGTTGACACATTCACTACCAGGTCACACAAGAGTCATCACACAGAGGAGTGTGAAGGCTGGTAGGAAACGTGTTGACACATTCACTACCAGGTCACACAAGAGTCATCACACAGAGGAGTGTGAAGGCTGGTAGGAAACGTGTTGACACATTCACTACCAGGTCACACAAGAGTCATCACACAGAGGAGTGTGAAGGCTGGTAGGAAACGTGTTGACACATTCACTACCAGGTCACACAAGAGTCATCACACAGAGGAGTGTGAAGGCTGGTAGGAAACGTGTTAACACATTCACTACCAGGTCACACAAGAGTCATCACACAGAGGAGTGTGAAGGCTGGTAGGAAACGTGTTGACACATTCACTACCAGGTCACACAAGAGTCATCACACAGAGGAGTGTAACGGCTGGTGTGTTGACACATTCACTACCAGGTCACACAAGAGTCATCACACAGAGGAGTGTGAAGGCTGGTAGGAAACGTGTTAACACATTCACTACCAGGTCACACAAGAGTCATCACACAGAGGAGTGTGACAGCTGGGAGGCAACGTATTAATTCAGCGTAGTAAGCGCATCGTTGATTACAGTATGGGTTCTTACATCAGGAATAAATGTGGGTTTACATTTGAGATAATTAACCTTTTCAAAATATAATGTTAAGTTATTTACGTTTTTACATGTTTACAGGACCTATTTGAACACTAAATTTAGTATGTTATAGTCCTTTTAAATTCCCAACAAAAAGGTACAAATACCATTTCTGTAACATTTACGGTTCAAAAGCTATTGCAGCTTATGCTATTTTCCCATAAAAACCCCACAAAAAAACCAAAAATCAGATTTTTTTAAAAAGCTGGTTTTTATTAAGTGTTGTGGCCCTAATAATTCTAAAAAATAGTGTCCCCATTGCTGAAATAATTATGGTTCAAAAGTTACTGCAACTTTCGACATTTTCCCTACCCTATAAAATATAGTTACTCCCACCACTTACCCATGATAAGTTTGTTTGGAAGCTAATGGTAGATAATGGTAGAAAGCATGTTTCAGATTGCTGATACCATTTATTTAAGATTTATGGCAGTAATGGGTTTGCCTATATGCATCACCTAATCATATGAAACATGTTGGTTATTTAACAGCTTATTGTTGTATTGTTATATCATTGATTTTTCTTTTTACTTTCTCCCCCTATACCATGGTATATGGAGAAAGTATTGTTTTCGTCAAAATTTTCGAGTTTGAGTTTTGAGTGGATATATTCGTTTTGGGTCCCCCTGGACCCAAAAAAGTGGTTTTCGAAGTGATGTCTGTGTGTCTGGATGTGTACAGAGCTAGAGACTACACCTGTGGTCCGATTTCGATGAAATTTGGTATGTAGGTTCTAATCCATGGTATCTCCAGGCTTTTTTTAAATTTTTTTGAAATTTTGATTTTTAATGGGGATTTTCCCATAAAACCCCATAAAATAACGGAAAAATAGGATTTTCCCAAAAACGGCCCGAACGATTATGATAAAAATTTAGTATGTTATAGTCCTTTATATTCTGAACAAAATGGTACAAATCCCATTTCTGTAAAAATTACGGTTTAAAAGTTATTGTAAATTATGTAATTTTCCCATAAAAACCCCATAAAATATCGGATTTTCCCAAAAATGGCCCGAACGATTTTGATAAAAATTAGTATGGTATAGCTGTTATAGTCCTTTAAATTCTGATCAAAATTGTACTAATCCCATTTCCGTATATTTAGTCTCACCGCTTACACATGATAAAGGTTGTTGATAAACTTATGGGAGAAAGTATGTGTCAGAATGCTGATACCGTTTATTTTACTTGTTATTCACAATTATTACATTTGTGGTGTGTTCCTTATGTTGCGTGTGTTTCTAAAAGTGATTTGATGTGCTTAATTTGTAGCCTTTATTAGTGAGTAAAGTGGTATGGATTTCATAACCATTATTTTCTTAGATACGTTACATTTAACCCCATAATGGGCTCGGTTGCAGTTACTATATAAATTGCCATCTTCAATTTTACAAATCAAGGGTAATAAACTAAATGATGAGTTGTCACTTCAAAACTAAATTAATGTTGCAGTTGCACATAGTTGGCCACCAAAAGATAGCTCAGTAAGGGTCGCAATGTGACAGGGGTAAGCTGCTAAATGAATAGCAGAATAGCGGTGGCTTCGAGTTGGCCACGGCTGGGTATTCGGCTCATTTTGCATTTTGGTAGCAGCGTGAGTGGAGGCAGGCCGGAGGCCGGAGTATCCTGTTCCCGTAGCCATAGTGTGGCCTTGATGTTGCTCTGACCCGGGAGATGATTGCCGATGTCGCGGAGACTGCAGGTCATGCTCCTCCCGATATCTGACCTTTTGGCCGTTGAACATGGCCCGGTCCCATCATGGTTGGATATGAGGGGTCATATATTGCTTTCACCACAGTTTGGTAAATCAATAAAACTAGAAGCTAAAATAAAGCTCCTAGGCTAACAAAATTCGACTGGGTAAAGGCATATAACATACTCTTAGTAGATTTATCATCCTTATGGATCGGTTGAAGACTAGTTTTATTGTTAGTTCCGTCCGTTGTACTGTCGAGGTCGTGTTTTGTTTACAATTGGTTTCTTGTTATTTAAGCCATTAAAACCTCGTTTAACCAAATAAAACAATTTAATCATAAGCAATAACCATTGAGATATAGATTATAACTGGAGTCACTACTCTCTGGTTAAACGTTAGAGAAAAACGTGCCACTGTTCTGGCTGGTTTGTTTTTGGTGTTTCGTGTTGTTAGGTTGGCCGTGTGATCGGTTGGTGGGATGCTGTAAAATAATTCCAATTCATTCTAACCTAACCATACTATTTATTTGGGGTTATGTTATCCGTTATTTCAAGGACTTGTATAAAAAACTTATTTAAGTTATTGGACGCTAAAACCTCTTAGTCCAGTGCAATTAGACAAAAAATGACCTTGACCCGGACAAAATTGATAACAGGCTGAAAATTGGTGGAAACGTTCAGAACAATGTCCTGAGTCGCCCACACAAAGTCCCAAGAAATCCCAGTTGGGGAACGGCCGCCATCTTGAAAAAACTGCCGCCATCTTGGAAATTTAGAATTTTTGCTGTATCTTTTGAAGTAATTGTCCGAAAGGCATTATTTATGTCTCAAATTAAGCGTTTTGAACTTATGTATGAGGGTATTAAAGAGTTTAATACGTTCTAATCATAAATATTATTTATATTAACCTAAAAATATATCTATAATAATGATAAAAATTTACAAAATATTTACAAAATGAAGCTTTTCTCTTTTGTGCTTAATGAACTCGTTAAAGCCATTAACCCTTTTGACATTTCTTGCAACCCATTATGCTTAGTCGTTGAAATTGGTTAAATACGGGGTGAATAAAAAGTCAAGACCCCCCCCCCTCTAATATTTTTCTAAGTGAATATACAGAGATTTATTTTTGGTGGTCGTCCAGTATTAGCAGGAAGTTTCATTTTATGATTTTTAAATTTTTAAATATTACCAAAAAGGGGGGATTTTGGGGGCAACTCAAATATTTTAAACGTAAACCCCCTTAAACTGACATCTCATTTTAAAGTGTTTAAAAAAGGGGTTTTTGTGGGACACTCAAACATTTTTAAATCATAAAATGAAACTGAAAATGAGTGTCCCCAAAAACTCCTTTTTGTAAACACTTTAAAATGAGATGTCACTTGAAGGGTGTTTACGTTTAACATATTTGAGTTGCCCCCAAAATCCCCCCTTTTTGAGGAACATTTATAAATTTCAAAATCATAAAATGAAACTTCCTGCTAAAATTGGACGACCACCAAAAGGACATCTCTGTATATTCACTTAGAAAAATATTAAAAAGGGGGTTGTTGACTTTTTATTCACCTAAATGCTGTAATTTGTTATTTATTTATTTATTTATTCCAACGGTAAGATCACACATTTACAATGTGGATTCAAGAAGCCTAAGTAGTAACAACATGCATTTTAACAGAAAACTTAACTAACTTAAATCTATGGCAGGAGCAGAGCAACATCGGTAACAGGAAACATAATCTTGACTAGGAAAGCAACAATTTAACAATGAAGTACAAAATAAATTTTGAAAAATCAATTCATAATTTTGTTCGTTCCGATGTGAAAAATAGAATCATCTATATATCGTCGCTATAATTGATTACCATTATATTATAATATTGCATATAAACTTATAATGTAACTACTTGATGTTAAATGTTATTGTCGGTGATGTAATCTTCGTTGCGGTTGGCACACCCGTGTCCAATTCAGTATCCATACATCGTGGTGCAATTAAGACCATAAGGGTCGTTATACTGTATCCATGAATCCATTCCAACCTGGACTTGGTTCGTCACTCAGTTGGTAGTTAATGAGCCATAGGGTGTCAGCAAGACAAGCATCTACAACTATTTTTGGTTCGGAAAGGGCTGTACTGACATCTCCCAACACTACTTATGATTTCCTAGGCTTAGGCGGACGTTGGTAAGGTGTCACTGGCTGAAAGCCATTAAATGGAAGGACACTTTTTGCTTTTGGGATTGTAGATTGTGGTACAGGAGCACTTGCATTGACACATTTCGGCTGGTGTTATGCACTCAATGACACCCATTGCGTGAAGAGTTTCATGTCCATCAAGTGTTTTAACGTTGTAATCCGCGTTGTCGAAAACATACTAAACGTAAGCTCCGTCATCTATTGAAGGTGAGACATCATCAGCTATCGAAGTCTCATAATGACGACCTTCTTGTATGTCGAGCAAACTCCGAGCTACGATAGAATGTCTATCGGCAACTTCGAGCCATACCCAGTATCGTCAGTGAAGGTCGAGCAGCAGGGACGATATAAAAGATCGTGGTCAATCTGCAGCAATAACTGCATGAGCTATATTAGTTGTCTCCTCTTTAAAGATTTATCATAGTTGAATGAATATTATATTTATATTTAACCAATTCCAAAGACTAAGCATTGTGGGCTGCAAGAAATCTCAATAGGGTTAATGGCTTAAACAAGTCCATTACGAAAAAAAGATAAAAAGCTTATTTTGTATATATATTGTATATTTATATCAATTATTTAAGATGGGGACGCCACTATGTGCGTATTTTAACAAAATATGAGTGAAGGATGAGTGGCGCGATCTTGTAGTCTTGTTAGTGACTAAGGCCGACATGTTCCTTAGACACAGATGTTAAATAATAGCCCATACAGCTAATGGCAACTAGGGGACCTACAGTAGTTTATAGTGGAATCCGAACCACATTTTTCCTTCTATTTAACGAATTGGTCTAATTATCAGGATTAGTACTGGATAGTCGTAGTACTTACTAGTGCGGACGTTAACGCTGTTGGTAAGTTGCGGCCCAAACCTCATTTTGCGTATGAGTTGCGGCCCAGACTGAAAAAAGTGTTGTACGAGTTGCGGCCCGAGTAAAAACAGGTTAATTGCGGCCAAGGATATGGTTGGTTTAATGTTACATAAAATAATCGTACATAATTTAAAAAGAAAACAGTTTATTGTGGTAGTTTTGTTTGCACTCCGTTCTACATAAGTTTATTTAAAAAATCCGGATTTTGAGTTCTACTCAGAGGTCAGCCCTATTTTCTGAATTCTTCTCCACCAACTCTGACCCAGATGGAAACGGCAACCCGGAATTAAAGCACTATGCAATTCTTCCTCGACTGCACTATGTACAGGGTGTCTCACGAGAGGTGTCTCAAATTGATTACGGAAAACGGCTTAACGTACAAGGACGAAATAAAATTATTTCCCGCTAAATCGACCCCAAAGGAAAAACGAAATAGTATATTTCGTACCTAGGGCCGAAAATGAGGTTTTGCCGGCTCGAGATAGTTTTTAAGTTCGAGACGAAGTCGAGAACTTAAATCGATCGAGAGCCGCAAAACCATTTCGGTCCGTGGTACGAACGCTATTTTTCACCACACTATACCCTATTACCACTATTCACCACAATAATAATGCACACTGATAGTCAACACAACTACAACTTTAAGGTTATGTGAAGAAATAATTTGAGGAATCAGCAAAAATAAAAATATATAGTTGCTAGGCAACGGTGACAATAACACAATTCTATTGAAATGCTATGGATTTTGATTATGTATTTAAAATGCATTCATGTTTTAAGTAAGTAAGCGGACAGCTGATTTTGCGGCCCCGGCCTGTAAAAACCTGCTCGGTCCCCAAATTATGGACAGCTGGCATCGCCAGCAAAACGTAACTTTCGGCCACCAATTAACGTATGTAATACAGCCAAAAACATGATAGTGTGGTGAAAAAATATTTTTAACGTTTTCCCAATACAGAGAGTGCCAAAAACTGAGGGTCACTAGTTCGAATCTCGGAATTTTCAAATGTAAACATATGTCATGTTATAAATCATTTTAAAGGTATTTGATAGAAAAACATTTTGGCGAAAGCAGAAATTAATTAATTATCTTTTTCCGTTTCAAAATGGCGGATGTTTTTTTTTATCTATATTTTTTAATACTCTGTGTTTCCTATACCAACGCATTTAGCCCTTCTCCGGTTGAATTTTCTTACTCGTTATGAAATTAGCTTTACTTTGATATGCTACAAGTAACGGTTTTTTGAAATGATAAAAATTAAAAAAAAAAATATTTTTGAAAATTTGAAATGCTCATTGTTCAAAATTTTCAAATAGCAACATATGTCAAGTGGCACATCATTTTATAGTTTATCCACACCTGGGAGCATCGCATCGACCGTTCATGCCTATAAAAATCCACAATTCCTATAAAAGGGGGGACATAACCGTATATATATCATTATTATAGATATTTTTTAGGTTAATATAAATAAAATGTATACTTAGAACATAATAAACTCTTTAATTATATATTACCCTCATACATGAGTCCAAAACGTTTAATTTGAGACATAAATAAGGCCTTTCGGACAATTACTTCAAAAGATACAGCAAGAAATCTAAATTTCCAAGACGGCGGCAGTTTTTTCAAGATGGCGGCCGTTCCCCAACTGGGATTTCTTGGGACTTTGTGTGGGCCACTCAGGACATTGTTTTGAACATTTCCACCAATTTTCAGCCTGTTATCAATTTTGTCCGGGTCATAACCTAATTGCACTGGACTATCTGTATTTAAAGTTATTTTGAAACATTATAAATTGTTTTTGTTTGATAGTAAATAAATACTAACTTATTTACCTCTTTTCAAGCTAGTCTATGTGGTGAAAATAGGCTAGTCAAGTTTCCTGGTTTGGAGATATTGGTTTAAGCCAATTAGCCCTATGGCATTTGATTAAATATCGACCATTAGTTTATGATCATGTTAAAATGGGTTGCTCTTGCTCGTAAATTAAATAAATAAACTTATATTGCAATCATAATGTTGAGTTGGCAGATTTTTGTTTACTAAGTTGGATGACGCCATCTTGATTTTGCCTCTAATTTGACAATTCCCACCAACCCGATCACCCGGCTAACCTAACGAAACGAAACTCTGAAACAAAACCAGCAAAAACAGTGGTACGTTTTTAAAACACAGAGTGGTTACTCCAGTTATTATTATAGCTCAGTGGCAATAACTCGTCCCCAAGTTATATATCCTAAATAAATAATAGAAACAAATATTTGGCAACATAGCGATCAGTGATGTCGTTGGACATGAACTAGACACGAAAACGAACTTCAAAATTTACGATGGGATGATTTCTAGGGACAAGATTTCCTAGATCTAGCTAGGGGATTTCGCTTTCAGAGTAGAGTTGCTGAGCTGGTGGCAACACTGACAAAGCTAAGCAAGAAGAAGAAGATACCGAAGAAAAAGAACTGAAGTAAGAAAGATGGTACGGCCTATTAACTGTTTGCTGTCTGTTTATATAGAGTTTAGTGTTTGTTTACACGAAAAACACAAAAGTATGAAATAAATAAAGGATTGTAAACTATTACATTAATATTCATTGGTTCCAATTATTACATTGGAATGTAATATAATTTATTAAACCACTAATCTGGAGGTAAGTTAATTATACTTGTGTGAACCTGGCAATAACTAAGTGCACGCGCCACAAAAAAATCTATTGCTCGCCGTTTTGCGGAATAATACGGCCACGAAACATATTACCGATGATGCCAACAGATAGAGAACACTTTTTTAACGGACATGACAGTATCAACATCATGTACCTGGGAAGTAGGTTAGGGCGGGGTAAAACCAACAATAAGTAGTGCGTGCGCCGTAAAAAATATATTGCTGGCTGTTTTGCGGAAAAATACGTCCGCGATCCATATTACCGATGATGCCAACAGATAGAGGACACTAACGGACACGACAGTATCAACATCATGTACCTGGGGAGTAGGTTTGGGGGGGGTGGGGGTAAAATTAACAATAAGTAGTGCGCGCGCCTTAAAAAATCTATTGCTGGCTGTTTTGCGGAAAAATACGTCCGCGATCCATATTACCGATGATGCCAACAGATAGAGGAAACTTTAACGGGCACGACAGTATCAACATCATGTAGGTAGCCTACCTGGGGAGTAGGTTAGGGGAGGTAAAATCAACAATAAGTAGTGTGCGCGCCTTAAAAAATCTCTTGCTGGCTGTTTTGCGGAAAAATAAGTCCGCGATCCATATTACTGATGATGCCAACAGATAGTGGACACTTTAACGGACACGACAGTATCAACATCATGTACCTGGGAAGAAAGTTAGGTTAGGGGGGATAAAATCAACAATAAGTAGTGCAGGGTCCTTAAAAAATCTATTGCTGGCTGTTTTGCGGAAAAATATGTCCGCGATCCATATTACCGATGATGCCATCAGATAGAGGACATTTTAACAGACACGACAGTATCAACATCATGTACCTGGGGAGTCATCGGTAATATGTATCGCGGACGTATTTTTCCGCAAAACGGCCAGCAATAGATTTTATCGGGTGCGCACACTACTTATTGTTGATTTTACCCCCCCCTAACCTAAGTTACTCCCCAGGTACATGATGTTGATACTGCCGTGTTCGTTAAAGTGCCCTCTATCTGTTGGCATCATCGGTAATATGGATCGCGGACGTATTTTTCCTCAAAATGGCCAGCAATAGATTTTATCGGGTGCGCACACTACTTATTGTTGATTTTAACCCCCCCCCCCCCCTAACCTACTCCCCAGGTACATGATGTTGATACTGTCCTGTCCGTTAAAGTGTCCTCTATCTGTTGGCATCATCAGTCATATGGATCGCGGACATATTTTTCCGCAAAACAGCCAGCAATAGATTTTTTAAGGCCTGCGCACTACTTATTGTTGATTTCACCCCCCCTAACCTACTCCCCAGGTACATGGATGTTGATACTGTCGTGTCCGTTAAAGTGTCCTCTATCTGTTGGCATCTGTTGGTAATATGTTTTGTGGCCGTATTTTTCTGCAAAACGGCCAGCAATAGATTTTTTTGTGGCGAGTGCACTCGTTATTGCCAGGTTCACACAAGTGTTAGTTATTAGATCACAGGGGATGTTGCTTAGGACCAGTCAGCCAGCATAAACCCAATTAACTAGTGTAGTCCTAGGTTATGTCATGGTACAACTTATTGAATCACGATATCGAGAGGAAATAAGTATAGTAAACATTTTGTGGGTACTCTTCCGGTATCTGTTGGCACAAGCAACGAAGCAACCGAACGAAAATATCGATCGATATTTCGATTATTTTATATAACGTTTGGTTAGGCCTACCGGTACCCTAACTAACCAACCAATAGAAATGAAACAATCGAATAACCAATATTTTAATTCGGTTGTTTGTGCCAACAGATACAGAAGTCTTCCCAATTTTGTTTCTATCCTATATAGATAGTTGAAGCCTCGATACTTAAAATGTTTTTTAAAATTAATATGTAACCACGCAATCGTGTTAGGTGGGCTAGGTTACTTGCAAGGGTGCAAAACCAATATTTGACTTGGGGGCGAAGCTTTAACCCTCTGTTGGTCACACCTATATAACTTAATTACCAAAAGGGTCGAACTGTATCTAATTGATACAGTTAAATTGACTTAAGTTTATTTTTATAAATATCTTTGCAATGATTGATTGGACTATTATAAGTTACTGTAATAGGCCTACTTAAGTTAGACTACCTAGAAGTTAGTTAAAAATATTCTATGGGTAAGTTACTTTGGTAACTTATTATCCGGAGGCCACCCTTAGACAGGCGGTTATGTTAGTCGGTTATCATAAATATATTTGTCGGACTTTCCTCGTTTTGATATGAATTGAACGATACCAGATGAGTCATACTTTTGCCCGCCAAATCTCCTCCAAGTAGGCTAATGTCAGGTCATTACCTGTCACCACCTGTATCTGGGTCTGTATGCTTAGTTATTATGCTGTGCACTAGGTTACTGTTACTGTTTTATGAAATGGCGACCATACAAAGTAGGTATTTTAAGCCAAGTATGAATGGAGATGAGTGTAGGATGGATGAGTGGCGCGATCTTGTAGTCTTGTTAGTGACTAAGGCCGACATTCCTTAGACACAGCTGTTAATTAATAGCCCATACAGCTATTGTCAACTAAGGGACCTACAGTTTTATAGTGGAATCCAAGCCACATTTTTGCCTTGGTAATTACGAATTGGTCTAATTATCAGGATAGTACTGCGGATAGTCGTAGTACTCACCCGTGCGGACGTTAATCAACACTGGGGAGTATCGCATCCAGTTAGTTTTGTCTCCTTAATGAGTGATATTCTTTTGAACGAAACAAATTTATGATAACCAAACCTAACCTTAGTTAACCCCTGCAGTGCGCTTTTATAAGGGTGGCCTCCGTTTCAACTCAATCCTTGCTTCAACTCCGACATCGCTGCCTTATGGGTGGCAGAACTCAAAGGCCGCTAATCGTAATCATGTCAAATTTGGACAGTACCTAAGTCAATTAAAATACGAGGGTTGTTTTTTTTTTCAAGTTCCGATAGGCTATAAACAAAAGACAAGTTCATATAAAACATTAAATTTATTACCAAAAGTTTGGTCCATTTATGGTTACTTTTTGACATAATCACCAAAGAGATTGAGACATTTGCTATATCTGTGCACCAGCTTTTTAATACCCTATTCAAGAAAAGTGGCTGCCAGTACATTCAAAAAACAAAAAAAAAAGTTCAATAAACAAAAAATTTCAAAAAATTTAAAAAAATTAATAAAAAATAAAAAAGTACTTTAAAATTTTTAGAAATTTAGTAAACAAAGCAATAATGGTGAATCTGTGGTTTATTTAACCATCCTGTCAAACTGTTGAACCAAGTCATCTGAAACGACAGTAATGAGCTGGTTCAACAATTTGGCAGAATGGTTAAATAAACCACAGATTCACCATTATGGATTTGTTTAGGTACTGAATTTCTAGAAATTTTAAAGTCCTTTTTTTATTTTTTTTTAGTTTTTTGAATGTACTGGCGGCCACTTTTTTTGAATAGGGTATTAAATACCCCCGCCGCAGCGAACCTGCCGACTAAGCGAATTTCCATTCGTCTGAATTGATTTTCAGTTAAATAAATTTTAATAACATTAGGTTTAACGAGTACCTAGGTTTGCTGCTACAAGGAAACTAATAAAGTGTGTTTTTGAGTAAAATATTGATAGCTTAGTACAAAATAAATAAATTTGCCAAGTTTGATCAAAATATATCCATAAACAAGCAAACTACAACATTTGACAATATTCTCCATAAGAATAACATGGGAATTTTAAATTTACAATTTTTTTAATTTTCTCCGTTACTAATAATCAAACAAAAATACTTTTATATACTAAATTATTTGTTTTTTTAAGCTCTTTAAAAAGGTCTAAAGAGAAATCGGGAAAGTTTGTGTTTTGAGGGTCAAAAGTGAGAAAAACCAATTTTTAACCCATAAAACCCCCCGTAAAGCCACGTTCCCATGGTCCGATCATGCTGGTTCGCGTACTCATTCAAGTTTATCCCGCTTTACACCTTTAAACCAAATTTCATCAAAATCGGACAAAAATTACTCAAGTTATCGCGTTCACGGACGTATATGTATATATATATGTAAGTCTATATATATATATATATACATATATAAAAATTTGAACGAATGGTGTTTTTGGCCTCTGGGGACATCAAAATGAAAAAGTAAATCGGTCCCGGGACTAGGTCTTACCGTGCCACCTACGGTAATAGCTACTTCCCTATAGGGAAATTCGCTAAAAGCTGGTGCACAGATATAGCAAATGTCTCAATCTCTTTGGTGATTATGTCAAAAAGTAACCATAAATGGACCAAACTTTTGGTAATAAATTTAATGTTTTATATGAACTTGTCTTTTGTTTATAGCCTATCGGAACTTGAAAAAAAAAACAACCCTCGTATGTTCTTTCCAATTATGTAAGTCCTGCTTCTCGTATGAGATATATACGGTACTTTATACGGCCTATTTGCCTATTTGGCTACTTGCTGTATCCAAACTCAGTGGTATCTTTGGTTCACAATAATGGAATTCCTCATTTCAGTGCCAATTCAAAGTCTGCATTAATGAATGGTTTGTCTAGTTCACATAAATGGAAAGTCTACTCACAGTATCCAAACTCAATGGTAGGCCTATATTTGGTTCACAAATAGAATGGCTGTTTGTCAATGGTGCATCAGCCTAATTCCGGTGACCATAATTATTGGTTATTCATTCAAAGTTTAAATTATGCTCAACTATATTAATACGATTGTTTTTCCCTTTTTCTCTGTACGGTATTTGTAATGTGCTATTTTAGATGATTCGTTGGCTAACATATGTTGCGACTCTTGTTTACCTTTTTATTGTAATCTTGCAAATAATGTCATAGCAACCAATTTACCCTTAAGGCCCATGTTAAATGTCCAAAAGTTTTAATTCACGTAGGGAAAGACCCTGTGGTCCGATTCGTACCATTTCAGATTTATACCTTCCCATGGTTGGTTACTATGATTGTGCTTAATTTCTTGCAGATCACCGTTCAGGAGGAGTATTTGTAAAACAAAATCAGGAGTGTAGTATAAGAGCCCAATGACTAATTACGTTGTACAGTATTTGGAATATTTTAATTATGGATCTAGTTTAATTCTCTAACATCAAACTGTTTTCGTATGACAATGCGTTTTTAGTAAGTTAACGTTAACTTATTCCACAAAACGGGAACAGTCACACTGTATCATTTTGATAGGCCTAAGTTAATTACAAATAAATAACAGATTTTAAGTGTATAAATGAAAAGCTTATAAATGATAAGGATTTTAAATGCTCAGGAATAATGATAAACTATTTGTTTTTAATTTGTTCGATCACTATCAGTGTCTAACTCATAACATTTTATTGTTTAGAAATGTTAAAGAAAATCATCCATGGTCACATTGTATCAAAATGATACAACCAAGTCAATATTATTATGTCACTCATTTTCTAAGTGATTCACACGGATTAAATTGATAAGTTACAGATTTTTTAAGTGGGCCCCGGACATGGTCAAGTTTAGCACTGGCTGGTTCTGGCTAGGGAAGGGGTGCACATTAGTGAGGGGATAGCGTTTGGTGCGCTCACAAGAAAGTGGCGGTTGAAAAGGTTGTTGCTTAAGTATCAAAATGAAACTGTGAGACCGATAGAGGGTTAATTACAACTTAGTGTATACGACTTAAGTTAAACGTATTTAGATAGATATCAAATAAAAACCATCAGTATTTTTAGTGGTATGAATGTCTAACTAAGTTAACTTACCGGTAAAACTAATTTTAGTAATCATTTCATACAATGCTTTCTCATTTGTAAATTAGTCGATGAATACCAAAAAATAATACAAAAAACTAACCTAATCTAACTCAAACCACATTTGACTTAAAATCAATAACAAATTAAGTTACACAGTGTATGTAAACACGGGCAAGTCTTATTATAATTTGTTAGGTACACACATAAAACAGAATTAACATTTATTGACTATGAAAAGTTTAAGCTATTAAGTTACTTAACAATCATTCTGCCAGTGGAGTAGGAAATCAAAGTTCTGCCTGTCAGCAGTTGTTTGGTCAGTCCACGTAACATTTGAGGAAGCTATAGTCCGTCCGTTTGGTTGAAGTGAGTCCCGAGAAGGTTCCTAATCCGCTGGGTATCATAGCCAAACGGACAGACTATAGCTCTGGCTCCATGCCGTCATTGCCACATGGATGTTGTCATGCTTTTTAAAAACAAAGATTTTTAAAACTTGGACATTAAATTACAGTAGACCCCCGGTTAACCGAAATAAAGGGGGGAGAGCCGTTTCAAATAACCAATTTTTCGGTTAACCTGTCATGTGCTAAAAATAGCCTATTTATTAACACGGTGTGCAGGAAAAATTAAATTTAAACAATTTCTATAATGATACAATGTTTTATTTCAGCTACATAACTGTTTAAATGGGTTAACTTTAAACTAAACAACTGAAGTCACTGAAGCATTTTGCATTACATATTACTTATATTTTAGCCCTGTATCATTTTATGGAGCTGTTTCAGTTAACCCGGGATTCTGTTAATCCGAATTCGGTTAACCGGGGTTTTACTGTGCATAGCATATTTTTCAGTTTACAGACAAAACTGTAAGTCTCATTAACATATAATAAATCCAATAAAATTGTTATAAGCGTAGAGTAAGTACTTTGCTTACTCTTAAAATTTATTTACAAACTTATCTTTACAGGTCAAAAGGTGCATGGGCTGTTAAGTTGGAGTTTGATTTATAGAGATCAGATAAATAAAATTTGAACTATGCAGATCCCAGTTTAAAGTGTAGAGTTTGAGAGAACGGAGATCAAAGACACATCGTGGGGACATCAATAAGAGCGTAAGTTCATGTTTCAACAGGCATACTTTTTGTCCTGAATTCGAATGAGAGGCTTACGGTAATGCAGTTCGAATTGTAGAGGTTGAATTCGAATTTTGGTGGTAACAGTTTGATTCGAATTACAGTTAGAAAATTCATATTGTAGATGCTAGAGTATGTGTAGATTTGAATTGTAGAGGCCAAAACCATCGTAATATGGTGGAAGAAAATTGAATTTTTATGATGTGAAGTATTGAAAGTGTTTTTAAAACCAGCAAAAATGTACTTATTCTTGGTCTCTTAATTTAATTTTTTGCACCAACATTATGTTAGACCAATATAATGTACATGCACTAGTAAAAATTGTTTAAAATTGTTGAATCATTATTTGACTTAAAATGTGTTAATAAATCATGATTTTTTCAGATGTGTTGAAGCCTAGTATTCGTGCAACTGCTAATCATTTAACAAGTCCTACAAAAAGATTTATAAATAAAGATACAAGGCTTATTGATTAGTCGACCCTTCTGGTTATCATGGTATTATAAAAGCTTATCTAATAAGTTTCACAAAGACAGAAATTGGAAAATTACAAATGTTAAAACACACTAAAAAGCTTCTGCTTAAGTGTCCAATATGTGGGAAAACATTTTTAACTCAGTTAGGAATGAAGGTTCATATATTGTATCACACAGGCGAGCGCCCCTTTAAATGTTTGATGTGTGACAAAACCTTTACCACCCATTATAAGGTAAAGAGTCATTTGTTGGCACACACAGGGAAGAAACCTTATAAGTGCACTACCTGTGGAAAATCATTTTCATACAAACAACATTTGATGTCCCATACGTTGTCAGTTCATACAGAAGAGAAACCTTATAAGTGTATCACATGTGGAAAATCCTTTCCTTCAACACTCATTTATAACAGACATGTATTAATACATAGCAATGAGCGTCCTTATAAGTGTAACACATGTGGAAAATCCTTTTTATACAAACACATTTTGAAGTCACATACATTTTCCGTTCATACAGAAGAGAGACCTCATAAGTGCAACACATGTGGAAAATCCTTTTTATCCAAACACATTTTGAAGTCACATACATTGTCCGTTCATACAGAAGAGAGGCCTCATAAGTGCAACACATGTGGAAAATCCTTTTTCTACAAACACATTTAGAAATCACATACATTGTCCTTTCATACAGAAGAGAGACCTTATAAGTGTACCACATGTGGAAAATCCTCTCCATCAACACTCATTTATAACAGACATGTATTAATACATAGCAATGAGCGTCCTTATAAGTGCAACAAATGTGGAAAATCCTTTTTATACAAACACATTTTAAAGTCACATACATTGTACGTTCATACAGAAGAGAGACCTCATAAGTGCAACACATGTGGAAAATCCTTTTTATACAAACACATTTTGAAGTCACATACATTGTCCGTTCATACAGAAGAGAAACCTTGTAAGTGTACAACATGTGGAAAATCCTTTAAACACAAAAACAGTTTGAAGGTACATATATTGTCAATTCATACAGAAGAGAAACCTTATAAGTGCACAACATGTGGAAAATCCTTTAAACACAAAAACAGTTTGAAGGTACATATATTGTCAATTCATACAGAAGATGAACCTTATAAGTGCACAACATGTGGAAAATCCTTTAAACACAAAAACAGTTTGAAGGTACATATATTGTCAATTCATACAGAAGAGAAACCTTATAAGTGCACAACACGTGGAAAATCCTTTAACCGCAAAGACAGTTTGAAGGAACATATATTGTCGGTTCATACAGAAGAGAAACCTTATAAGTGCACAACATGTGGAAAATCCTTTAAACACAAAAACAGTTTGAAGGTACATATATTGTCAATTCATACAGAAGAGAAACCTTATAAGTGCACAACATGTGGAAAATCCTTTAAACACAAAAACAGTTTGAAGGTACATATATTGTCAATTCATACAGAAGAGAAACCTTATAAGTGCACAACATGTGGAAAATCCTTTAACCGCAAAGACAGTTTGAAGGAACATATATTGTCGGTTCATACAGAAGAGAAACCTTATAAGTGCACAACATGTGGAAAATCCTTTAAACACAAAAACAGTTTGAAGGTACATATATTGTCAATTCATACAGAAGAGAAACCTTATAAGTGCACAACATGTGGAAAATCCTTTAAACACAAAAACAGTTTGAAGGTACATATATTGTCAATTCATACAGAAGAGAAACCTTATAAGTGCACAACATGTGGAAAATCCTTTAACCGCAAAGACAGTTTGAAGGAACATATATTGTCGGTTCATACAGAAGAGAAACCTTATAAGTGCACAACATGTGGAAAATCCTTTAACCGCAAAAACAATTTGAAGACGCATATATTGTCAGTTCATACAGAAGAGAAACCTTATAAGTGCACAACATGTGGAAAATCCTTTAAGCGCAAAAACAATTTGAAGTCGCATATATTGTCGGTTCATACAGAAGAGAGTCTTCATTAATGCAACACATATGCGGAAAGTCTTTTGCATATATAAGCAATTTGATAGAACATACATTGCTATTCATACAGAAGAGTACAAGTGCTCTAAATGTGAAAAATCCTTTAACCGCAAAAAAAGAAGATACATCAATTCATACAGAAGAGAAACCTTATAAGTGCACAACATGTGGAAAATCCTTTAAACGCAAAAACAATTTGAAGTCATGTACATTGTCAATTCAATTCATACAGAAGAGAAACCTTGAGTGCACTTCATGAGGAAAATCCTTTGTATCAACATTCCTTTATAAAAGACACGAGAGCTTACCCCGTGGTCGAAAACTCGACCGAAAGTATGTATTGTGCAAACTTCTCTATTTTCAACCCACACTGTAAATAAAACATGTGATTGGAATTTCTTTAATTAGTTTTTATTTTATGTTTATATTTTTGTTGTTATTTCGTCACCAACATAACAACCCATAAGGCCCATGTTAATTATTTTTAAATTTAAAATTCATTTTTGTGCTTATTTTTGAGCCTATTTTAATTTATAAAGGGATTCTGCACATCAACAGGAAAATATCTTTCATTTGGTACCAACAGCGTATAATTCGGTCCAGCAGTATGGTTAGGCTAGCTGTCATAAGTTTTGCAAAAGTTTTTTAGTATATAAGATGTATTAATACATAGCAATGAGCGGCCTCATAAGTGATCTACATGTTGGAAATCCTTATACAAATGTCCTTTTTTTACAAATATATATGTATTCATTCTTGACAATCTAATTTTGGTCTTATTCATTTCCACAACTGATGAGTCCTCATAAGTAGGAATTTAAAAGCAATTATAACAGACATGTTTTCATTTATATCAATAAATGTCATCATAAAAAGCCAAATGACATGAAATGACTCACTAAACTTTGTTTATAAATAATAGTCAATTGTAAGACCAATGCTAAATCCTATATGTTATCATCTTATCTACCCGACCGATTTTCATGATTGAGGTCTCAAATTGAAGGTATACACGCACAAATTTGCCATCAAGCATTGGCATATATTTATCTATAATCCCACTCGGCTAATACTTAAAAGAAATTTGCTCCCCATGTATTTCTTATGGGAGTTAAATTTGGTTTTTCAAGGATTTCACATCAAGCTTCGGCATATAGGCTATTTACCTACTGTGTTACTCGACCAAAAAATATAATTTGATTCATTTTTTAATTCTTACTTCAATTTAAGATGTATTTCACCAGTTAGTTATAATTATATAATCCTATATATTTTGGTCTCAGAACCTTCAGTGAAATACCGGCTTTCATTTAAGCTATTCGATATTCAAATCGAACGAGTTTCAAGCAAACGCAGGGTTAATAACCAACATAAAAATCATTTTTCATAAGGCTTTTCTATTATTAAAAATCAATCTCTCCAGTATTGTTTGTGTTTTTTTATGTTTTAGCCTCAAAATAATCAGTAAATTATAGGCATTAATTTGAGCTATTGATCGTTTGAATCAGTTAAGCTCAAGATACTGGATTACTCAATCAAAAGTCATCAATTTGATTATTTTTCGGATATATAATATTTATTTTAACGCTGCTGAGCAGCATGGGTCCTCTAGTATTTAATATAAAATGTAAATTAAATAAATTTTCTTCACCAATATCATGTATTATACAGGTTGGAAAAAAAGTCCGAGGACAGTAAAATATTTCAAAAAGTAATAAAGGTGGAGCTTCAAAACTTGGTACACAGTTATTGGGCATTGAAATTATTTTAACACATTATTCAGTGATATGCTACCTCCTTGAGCGATGGCCCAATAGGAGTCAGAAGAAACTCTTACATGTAACGATAGGTTTACATGCACAATCAAATTAAAGGTCTTTGTTAGTAAAATACAATGCCGCAAATTTGAACTAAACCGGACATTAAAGTTAAAAAAAAAACCTGCCTCAGCAAACCTGATGACTAAGCAAACTTCTATTTATCTGAATTGATTTCAATTAAATCTATTTTCATGGTTTTTAATAAAGTTATAAATAAATCAAATGTTTATAAATATAATACAAAATACAACTATTTCATAAATTTAACTTATCAGTTTAGTTTCGCTTAGAACTATCAACATCTATAACAAGTTTCATTAGTAAAGATGTCACACCAGAAGTCAGTTTTTCATAGGCTGTAACTCCTATACAAGTGGGTTTATCAAAAAAATTTCAAGAATAAAAAAAATTTTAAACTGCATGTTCCATCCCAAAACTTAATAATAATTGTAGCTGTTATCCAGTTATGGCTGTGAAAAGAAAACTGCTTACGTATTAATATATGGATTAATCTTTTAAGTAAAAAAGGGAACAGCTGATTTTCAGACCTACAAAGACCTGCTTTGTATTGCCCAAAATGACGAAGACAGGTGGCATTTCGGCGTTGGACAGCAATACAAAGCTTTTAGCCTCCAATTAATGTTTGTAAAACGGCCAAAAACGTAATATAGTGAAAAAATTTGATTTTTGATGATGTGAAGTATTGAAAGTTGTTTTAAAACCACCAAAAATGTACTTATTCTTGGTTTCTTCATTTAATTTTTTGCACCAACATTATGTTAGACCAATATGATGTACTTGAACTAGTAAAAATTGTTTTAAATTGTTTAATCATAATTAGACCTAAATAAATGTGTTAATAAAGTGTGATATTTTTCAGATGTGTTGCTAGATAAGCCCAGTATTCGTTCAACTGCATCATTTAACAAGTCCTACAAAAAAGATTAATAGATAAAGGTACAAGGCTTATTGATTAGTCGACCCTTCTGATTATTATGGTATTATAAGATTATCTATTAAGTTTCACAAAGACAGAAATTGGAAAATTACAAATGTTAAAACACACTAAAAAGCCTCTGCTTAAGTGTCCAATATGTGGGGAAAACATTTTTAACTCAGTTAGGAATGAAGGTTCATATATTGTATCACACAGGCGAGCGCCCCTTTAAATGTTTGATGTGTGACAAAACCTTTACCCAGAAACATAATGCAAAGCGTCATGTGTTGACACACACAGGGAAGAAACCTTATAAGTGCACTACCTGTGAAAGATCATTTTCATACAAATATCACTTGATGTCACATATGTTGTCAGTTCATACAGAAGAGAAACCTTATAAGTGTACTAAATGTGGAAAATCCTTTCCATCAACACTCATTTATAACAGACATGTATTAATACATAGCAATGAGCGTCCTCATAAGTGCAACACATGTGGAAAATCCTTTTCATGCAAATACAATTTGAAGTCACATAACTTACATTGTCTGTTCATAAAGAAGAGAGACCTCACAAGTGCAACACATGTGGAAAATCCTTTTTATACAAACACATTTTGAAGTCACATACATTGTCCGTTCATACAGAAGAGAGGCCTCATAAGTGCAACACATGTGGAAAATCCTTTTTCTACAAACACATTTTGAAATCACATACATTGTCCTTTCATTCAGAAGAGAGACCTTATAAGTGTACCACATGTGGAAAATCCTTTCCATCAACACTCATTTATAACAGACATGTATTAATACATAGCAATGAGCGTCCTTATAAGTGCAACACATGTGGAAAATCCTTTTTATACAAACACATTTTAAAGTCACATACATTGTACGTTCATACAGAAGAGAGACCTCATAAGTGCAACACATGTGGAAAATCCTTTTTATACAAACACATTTTGGAGTCACATACATTGTCCGTTCATACAGGAGAGGGACCTTACAAGTGCGCAACGTGTGGAAAATCCTTTGCACACAAATCCTATTTGAAGTCACATACATTGTCAGTTCATACAGAAGAGAAACCTTGTAAGTGTACAACATGTGGAAAATCCTTTAAACACAAACACAGTTTGAAGGTACATATATTGTCAATTCATACAGAAGAGAAACCTTATAAGTGCACAACATGTGGAAAATCCTTTAACCGTAAAGACGGTTTGAACGTACATATATTGTCAATTCATACAGAAGAGAAACCTTATAAATGCACAACATGTGGAAAATCCTTTGTATAAAAATTTATGTTGAAGTCGCATATATTGTCGGTTCATACAGAAGAGAGTCCTCATTAATGCACCACATATGAGGAAAGTCTTTTGCATATATAAGCAATTTGATAGAACATACATTGGTTCATACAGAAGAGAGACAACAACAACAAAATACAAGTGCAATACAAAGTACAAGTGCTCTAAACGTGAAAAATCCTTTAACCGCAAAAACAGTTAGAAGGTACATAATATTGTCAATTCATACAGAGCAACCTTATAAGTGCACAACATGTTGAAAATCCTTTAAACACAAAAATATCTTCCTACAGTCACCCGACAAAGTTGGCTTCCTTGTACTGTTTATAGTACAGAAAGCGGCTAATAGCTGCATATTTATACTTTGTCGTACGGTTTATACTTTGGCGCACATCAGGATTCCAACAAAACAACATAAAACAGCGTGGTTCTATTATACACGTAATCCATGTACGCTTGGAAATAGGTTGGCAACACTTAAAGAAAAATAATACTATGAGCAGCTGATTGACTATTATAACTACGATTTGTGTTTATAGTTTATGTTCTCTTTTCGGTATTTCTGAACTTTCTGGACTTTTCTCTTAAACGTTTTTTAAACATTCCTACGATCTTAATAAACAAGAAAATACCTTTAAAGCATTTTTTTAGGTGCGGAAACCACTGCAAATTACAAAATCATACGGAACTATTTTCTCAAGTCGCGGAGCACATTGCTTGCCGAGGGAAAATAGCGGAGTGATACGGACCGGTGACTACCTTTTTCTACATATTTCTAGAACTACCTATTACTACCTATAGACTACCTATTTCTCTAGGGCACCTTTTTGTGTTGCCAGCTAAACTTAAAAACGTGTTGTGTAGTGTTTGAAAGACTAATTATTTATATGCTTTTTAGTGACTTTAGGAAAAATATAATGTGTGTATCACGAATGCAAAAGGCCTTTGCTGCACTCGAGATCATTCCGCATGTGCCACTTTGCTCACTAAAATAACTATTGAAGTTACATACATTGTCAATTCAATTCATACAGAAAAGAAACCTTATGAGTGCACTTCATGTGGAAAATCCTTTGTATCAACATTCCTTTATTACAGACATGTATTAATACATAGCAATGAGCGTCCTCATAAGTGATCTACATGTTGGAAATCCTTATACAAATGTCCTTTTTTTACAAATATATATGTATTCATTCTTGACAATCTAATTTTGGTCTTATTCATTTCCACAACTGATGAGTCCTCATAAGTAGGAATTTAAAAGCAATTATAACAGACATGTTTTCATTTATATCAATAAATGTCATCATAAAAAGCCAAATGACATGAAATGACTCACTAAACTTTGTTTATAAATAATAGTCAATTGTAAGACCAATGCTAAATCCTATATGTTATCATCTTATCTACCCGACCGATTTTCATGATTGAGGTCTCAAATTGAAGGTATACACGCACAAATTTGCCATCAAGCATTGGCATATATTTATCTATAATCCCACTCGGCTAATACTTAAAAGAAATTTGCTCCCCATGTATTTCTTATGGGAGTTAAATTTTGTTTTTCAAGGATTTCACATCAAGCTTCGGCATATAGGCTATTTACCTACTGTGTTACTCGACCAAAAAATATAATTTGATTCATTTTTTAATTCTTACTTCAATTTAAGATGTATTTCACCAGTTATAATTATATAATCCTATATATTTTGGTCTCAGAACCTTCAGTGAAATACCGGCTTTCATTTAAGCTATTCGATATTCAAATCGAACGAGTTTCAAGCAAACGCAGGGTTAATAACCAACATAAAAATCATTTTTCATAAGGCTTTTCTATTATTAAAAATCAATCTCTCCAGTATTGTTTATGTTTTTATATGTTTTAGCCTCAAAGTAATCAGTAAATTATAGGCATTAATTTGAGCTATTGATCGTTTGAATCAGTTAAGCTCAAGATACTGGATTACTCAATCAAAAGTCATCATTTTGATTATTTTTCGGATATATAATATTTATTTTAACGCTGCGGAGCAGCATGGGTCCTCTAGTATTTAATATAAAATGTAAATTAACTAAATTTTCTTCACCAATATGTATTATACAGGTTAGATAAAAAGTCCCGGGACAGTTAAATATTTCAAAAAGTAATAAAGGTGGAGCTTCAAAACTTGGTACTCAGTTACTGGGCATTGAAATTATTTTAACACATTATTCAGTGATATGCTACCTCCTCGAGCGATGGCCCAACAGGAGTCAGAAGAAACTCTTACATGTAACAATAGGTTTATATGCACAATAAAATTAAAGGTCTTTGTTAGTAAAATACAATGCCGCAAATTTGAACTAAAAGGGACATTAAAGTAAAAAAAAACCCCGCCGCAGCAAACCTGACGACTAAGCGAATTTCTATTTGTCTGAATTGATTTCAATTAAATCTATTTTCATGGTTTTTAATAAAGCTTAAATAAATAAAATGTTTATTAACATCATACAAAATACAACTATTTCATAAATTTAACTTATCAGTTTCGCTCAGAACTATCATCATCTATAACAAGTTTCATTAGTAAAGATGTGGACATTACATCATAGAGAATAGACCATTATAGTGGTCTATTGTATGTGATTACGTACATATGCTTTGTATCGGTATTTTTTTTTCTGTGTTAAATTTTAAACATTTAACATAATTATGAAAAAAATTGTTTTCAAGCGAGTGTTATACATCCAAATATCTCAAAACACTGCTAGAAGTAATTGTTCGTAAGCCCTAAAAGCAACCATCGATTTCGACGGGTTTCACCTAGTTTCATTGAAAAGTATTAAAGTATTACAAGCTTGTAAGTAACATAGTATCTGTCTCTGCAGCTTGTATATTTAAGATATTTAATTTTTTCCTAAAAATTATAAATAACTACGATATTTCATTTGATACGGGTAAAAATTCATGCACAAAGATAAGATACGATATAGGTATCGATACATTCCGTTCTAATACATATCACTACGCAGGATCAACACATTGACCAGTATCACACATCATTACTCATAGGTAGGCTAACATGGTAACAAAATGCTATGTACAGACTTTCTGATAAGGCACTATCAAGTATTAATAAGGTTTTTTAGTGTAACCTGTTGTATAAAAATAAGGATGCATTTCACGACATCCAAGGGTAACCACATAGAATAATATGAGTCAGTGTCACAACATCCAAAGTAAAATTTTTGGGCTGTCTCATGATGTCCAATAGTCTATGAAATATTTGACTGTTGCATGATGTTCAAATCTCATGTCCAAAAGTACAGCAACTGCAATAAACATACTGTAGTCTTTCTACAAGCTCTGGATGTCATGAGATTGGTCGTCGTGAAACAGCGCACTTAACACTCTTCAAAATGTAGCAGTTGCACCATGTCCAAAGCCGCTGCCAGTTTCACAGCGTCCAATAGCTCAGCGCTGTCCCACCACGTCCAGAGCCCCTGCACATCGTGAATACTTTTTTACCGACTGTAGTACATACTAACCTAACCTAACCTAGCTCCGTAAGCAAGAGCTCTAGACGTCGTGAGACAGGTCTGAGTTATTGATCGTCGTGCAACTGGCAGCGGCTTTGGACATTTTAGTTTGGACAGGCGTGTGTGACTACAATCAAATAAGAATCTATTTCAGCCAAATATTAGGTAATGAGTAGCCTACAT